AAGTCCCAGGTCATATCTCTCTCTCTCGTAGTCCACAGATATTGAGAAGTAGGCAGYGAGAGGGGAAGAAGAGATGGTGGACTTAGAAGAGGAAGAAGAAGAACTCTCTCTCTCTCTCTCAGTCCAGTACTAACCTGTGAAGGTGGCGCTGTGATGCAGGTACCTCGAAGATGGAGCTGGAGCGATGGCGCCACAGGTAAGTACCACTGGCCTCCGCCAGGCCTCTCTCTCTTGTATCACTACTATTACTACTTCTATAGCGCCCAGCGCTGAAGACTACAGCTATGGCGCCCAGCGCTAAAGACTACCACTAGCGCTAAGCTGCCCTGAGCAGCGCTCCTCCTGAGTGCTGCTCCGCTATCCTGAAGACTACCACCTGACTACTGTCCAACTACCTACCGCTGACGTGCCTGGGAAGCCCTATGAACTACCCGGGTGCCTCCTGACTGCAGGCGAGCAGTCCAGGAGGCTGCTCTTGCCAATGCCAGGGGCAGGGGCTGCCGCTGCAGCTCCTGCTCAAGGTCGTGGGAACAGGCTATTTTTGGCCTGTTCATGAAACCCTGTTTCCGTGCCTGAGTCTTAGGGGCGGTTGAAACAACGAGGGCCTGAAAATGGCCCTCCGTTTCAGGCTGGAAAAACTCTGGGACCCAGAAATAGGCTGAAACGGAGTAGGGCCTGCAAACCCTCGTTTTTCAGCTTTCAGGCTGAAACGACCGGGGCCTGTAAGCCCTAAGTTTTAGGCTTTTAGGCTGAATGTCCGGAACGGGCCCTGCAGGGCCCGTGTGGCTACGCAGTATGCCACACCCCCCCCTCCTTGAAGAACCGAGCTTACCTGCGAGGGCGAAGCTGTCTGTCTGAGGGAGGGACCACAGTCCGGGTGGGGGGGGCTGGTCGTGAAGCTTCCTGAGCTAACCTCCGCTTTTCATAATGCGCGTAGATCAGCGGTGCGGATGCTTTCAAATCTGCGCCTGAAATCCACCGAGTGTCGTCGCGATCGCATGCTTTGAATGTGACTTTGTACTGTCGCGGCTTGCTGCCGTACTTGCGATCGGTGATGACGCGGTCAACTTCCTGATGACCATCCATAGAAGGAGGGTCCTGCGACCGTCGGCCCGGAAAGTCGTCGCTCTTGGTTGGCGTGTATGTTGCCAGCTTCGAGGCGTGGAAGACCGGATAGACCGTCAGATGCTCTGGAATGTTGATCACAAATGAAGGGCCATCGGGCTCATCGCCCGCGGCTGCTGTCACAGACCAAGGTCCAAACCACTTGGGAAGCAGTTTGCGTGAAACATCCTGTTCCAGTGCACACTCTTCCGCGGAGACCCAAACCAGATCACCGGCGCGAATGGGACATGGTACGCGACGCCTGTTGGCTTGCTGCTGCATGCGGACTTGAGCCTTTTGCATGTTTGCGCGGGCTTGAGTCAGCAATTCCCTGTACTTCCGGACGGAAGCGGGAGAGCAGGCAGCGTCAATGTCGGCTAGTCGAGGGAGGAGAAGGTCGGCGAAGATTCGGCCTTTCCGTCCACCGTGGTGCAACTCGAATGGAGTCACGCCGATCGCCGGATGTACCGAAATGTTGTAGGCGAACTCGATGTCGGGGAGGCGGTCAACCCAATCTTTCTGGTCCAGACGGATGAGCGTACGAAGCATCATTTGAGCGGTTTGATGTGCCCGCTCCGTCTGCCCGTCTGTCTGTGGATGCCGAGCCGAACTTGGTTTCATCGTTGTGCCGGACTTCTGCATGAGCGCAGTCCAAAATGCTGACATGAAACGAGTGTCGCGGTCGCTGACAATGTCTTCTGGTACATCGTGGCCACAAATCCAACCAGTGTGCAAGAGGCGTGCCAGTTCGGGAGCCGTGGAGTAGTAGTTGCAAGGGAGAAAACGCGCGTACTTACTCAATCGGTCCACAACCGTGAGGATGCCGTCGTGCCCGAGCCGGTCGCGAGGAAATGGACCGGTGACGTCCATAGCAATGGAGAGACCGGGTTCCCGTGGAATAGGCATCGGGTGTAACTCGCCGTAGGGATTGCGGTTGCGGGGCTTGCTGCGTCGGCAAACTTCGCAAGAGTCGCAATACCGAGTGACATCGGTAATGAGATCGGGCCATCGGAATCGCTGTCGAAGCCGTGCAATAGTGCGTTTGACTCCGAAATGGCCGGCGAGTCGCGAATCATGATACTCGCCGAGGAGGCGAGTCCGAAGACGACGGTCGCGTGGGACACATAGTACGTCCTTGCGTGTCGAGTGGAGGAGCAAGTACCCGTCGGCAATGCGATAGTGGCTGGCCGGCGGGTGATCCGAAGATAGTTGTGCGTACAACGTGGCGAAGTCCGGATCGGACTCGTATGCCCGGATGAAGTGTCGCTGAAGCTCCTCGTCGAATGCGAAGGCATGATGTGTCGTAGCGCAAAGATCAGGTCTTCGCGAGAGTGCATCTGCTGCGCGATTGGAGAGGCCGGGAAGATGTTTCGGTGTGAAGTCGAATTGGTCGATGAAGTACATCCATCGTCCGATCGTGCTGCTCACCGTATCCTGCGTCTTGTAGTAGGTCAATGGATTGTTGTCCGTAACCCATGTGAACTTACGACGCCCAAGGAAGAAGTGCCGCCATCGCTTGAGAGCCATGACGAACGCGAGTAGCTCCTTCTTCCTTGCATCATCAAGCGAGTTGATGGGAGGCACTTTGTGGCTGAAATACTCCACAGGGTGCCAGTCGTCGCCGTCGTGCTGTTCCAAGACTGCCCCAATGCCATAGCCGGAAGCGTCCGTAGTCACTCGCGTCAGCAGGGTGGGGTCATAGATGCTAAGGACGGGTGCCATGAGCATAGCCGTCTTAAGTGCTTGGAATGACCGGCGTGCGTCGTCATCGAATACGAATGGCACCTTTGGCGACTGTAACCTCGCCATAGGTGCAACAATCCTGGAGTATCCGGTGATGAATCGCTGATAGTAGCCCGCCAATCCCATGAATGAACAAACGTCCGTGGTGTTGGTGGGCTCGGGCCATACTCGTAGGGCCTCGATCTTGTCTGCGAGCGGACGGATGCCTTTCGGCGTCACATAATGGCCCAAGTACTCCAGCTCCTGCCGCGCGAATTCGCACTTGTCGCGGTTGGCTTTGTACTTGGCTTGTCGTAGCCGCTCCAAAACGGTGCGCAGGTGTTCCACATGCTCCAAACTCCGACTGTAGACGAGAATGTCGTCGAGGTAGATAAGTACGGAACGATCTAGCATGTGTCGGAACTCCGTTGTCATAGCCGCTTGGAAAGTGGCCGGGGCATTCGTAAGGCCAAATGGCATAACCAGCCATTCGAAACGCCCATATCGCGTCTTAAACGAGGTCTTGTAACGGTCCTCCTTGCGAATCTCGAGTTGGTGATATCCTGACTTGAGGTCCAGCTTGGAGAAAAACTTGGCGCCGCCCAGTCGCTCGAGAAGGTCGATGCGTGGGAGAGGGCCGGCGTTCCTGATCGTCTGCGCGTTGAGCTTGCTATAATCCATGCACAACCGCAGGTTCTTGTTCTTCTTCCGGACGAAGAGAACAGGAGCACCGTATGGCGATGAGCTAGGCCGAATCCAGCCTTTCTCTAGAAGGTCGTCGAGTTGTGCACGAAGCACACTTAACTCTTCCTCACTCATTCGGTAGATGCAACCGCGCGGAGGTACGACCCCGTCCTCGAGGATGATCTCGTGGCGGATGGGCCGATCCGGTACTACTCCGTGCGGGCCTTCGAACACGTCGCTGTAGGCGTCGAGAAGTTCGGTGATGCGTGGATCCGAAGATGAGTCCATCGATGAAGCATCTCGGGGTGGGAGGGTATGGAGAAAACACACCCCCATCTCCTCGATGTCGTCTCTGATGATGGAAGCTCGCATGCTTGCGGCGGATACCACGTGGCAGCTGATCGAAGGATGAGGAAGAGGCACCGTGCATGGAACTAATACTCTGTTCCGATCACGAACGTGAACGGTGCGGTTGAAGAAGTTCACCGGGTGATCCTTGCTTCGCAGCCATGACATGCCCAAGATCATGTCGAATTTGGTGTCCAGAATATCAAAGGACACCGCCTCAGTTGCGTGAGGGGCAAAGTACACGGGGACGGCATCAATGCACCGGTCGATGGACTTGTGCGTATGACCGTTTGCCAAAGTGACTTGCGTAGGTTGGGACTTCCTCCGGACACGTGGGCCAAGGCCGGCGCGTACCATGAAGTCCTGGCTGATGTAGTTGCGAGATGCTCCGCAATCGATCAAGGCGTTGCAGGTCACCTCTCTGATCTGAATGCGTACATATAGCAATGGTGCGTCGATGTCGTCGTACCGTTGCGTCTTGAACTCGCGGTCGATCTTCGCAATGTAAGCGTGAAGGTCGACAACCTCTACTCCGACGTCCATCAACGAAGCTGGTACTGCAGTGTGCAAGTAATCCCGCAATTGTGCCATGAGCACGTTGCAATGCGGTTTCGACAATCGTCCGGTCGAGGGAACAGGCATCCACTGGAGGTCCGTGAACGTCAACGGGTCGAGCTCTTCAAGTCTCGACCATGACGTCGAATCCCCGACGATAGACTGCAGCGAAGCTGCCGAATCGGTTGCCGACGGTGATGAAACTGTGCATGCGATGGATTGTTGCACGTGGAGCGGTTGGTCCAGCGGTGGAACCAAGTGGATAGCATAATCCTCGTAAGTGTACTGAGGACTTGCGACATTCGCATCCTCCCCAGATGTGCGGGAGGCCGCTAGCAAGGCGGCAGAATCTGGCAGAGTAGAAGGTGGAGTCGCCTCACCTTCCGCGGAACTCAGTTTCCCGAGTTGAGGCGGGGTCGCACATCCTCCTTGCCCTGATCCTGGCATAGGGAGGTCTTGTGCTTGGTGCTGTTGCACCAATAGCAGCTGCCGTAGCGGCCGCGGACCTTGTACTCCGCCTCGGTCAAGCCGAACTTGACCCATGGAACTTGTACTGGCTGTCCATTTTCGGCCTGCGTTGCGGATTTCGCCTTCCCATTGTTGCGGGACTTGTTGTTGGTTCGCGGCTGGACAGCAGCCACCTGATCTCCGTCACTTGATGCTGGAGTGGCTGCTGGGTTATCTCCACTGTCCGACTGGACTGCAGCGAAGTGCTGCGGTCGCGGACCAGTTCGTACCTTCTCCACATAGGTCGGCTGCCATGTTGACTTCTCGTGTGCAACTGACCTGTTGGTCTTGATGATCTCCCTCGCCTTGTCAATGATCTCAGCGAAGGTTGAGTACTGCTCGCGATCACCAAGAGCCTGGCTCAATGCAACACAGGAACTTTTGTAGAACCCACGGCGTAGATGCGTGAAATGCAAGTCCAGATTGGGCACTGCCGCAATCTTCTGCCACTCCGTGAGCCAATCCTGTGTTGCAGTGTTGCCCTGTGACATGGTGAACAAACGGTTGATGGCGAGTGCCGGTGCGTCGTCGACGATGAGCCGCTTCTTCCACAGCCGTGTCAGTTCCTCCCATGTGATCTTGTCCTTCAAGTCTGGTACGCCAACGCCGTGAGAGGTTGCCAGGTGGGTCAACGAGATCTGGCATCCGCCCTTTGAGTTCATGAACAGGGCGCCAATGTACGCATGCTTAGCGACAGGCAGAATCCGAAGTTGCGTCGTGAATGCTTCCCACCAGAGGACCGGATCCTGCTGCGTGTAGTCGTCGAACTTGTCCAGTTGGAAAGTTGGCATCTTGTACAACTTCAGATTGCCATCCGCGTTCGTCGACTGAAACTGCTGGAACTCGGTCTTCAAGGTATGCAGGTGACTGCTGATGGTGGTCGGCGCAGCGAAAGTGCTGATGTCGTTGAGCATTGCCACTTCGTGGTCAACGCGTTCCTCCAGTTGGCGGCTAGAGGGTGCATCTGGTCTTGGTGGAAGTTGTTCCAAGTCCTGTACACGGACGTCCAGTGCCCGTGTGGCATTCTCGTGCCGAGTCTTATGATTCCGCACGGCCCGCTGGAGGTTCGCCAGCTCGGACTGTAGGTGGTTACAAGTGTAAACCAGCCTGGTCACGAGGTTGGCCATGAACTCCTTCTGCTGCTCTTCCGGTGTTGCCTCGTCGCCGTTCGGTTCAAAGTGCCAGTACTTGAGTCTCTCGATGCGGTTGGTTTCATGCCGCAGCAGTAGATCCTGGGCTTCCTTGCGGCGAGCCTGGGCATCTGCGTCTGCTTCGGCCTGTAGCCGCAGCTTCTTTGCTGTTGCCGCTTCTTCAGCTTGTAGCTGGGCAGCCTTGACTGCCGGCTGGCGTTGTTCCTCAGCCTCGATTGCAGCGAGCTGAGCCTGGAAGCGCTTTTTGTAGTCGGCAATGGGCTCATTGGCCAGTTGGCCTGGCAGGCCCGTCATGTTGCTGACGTGGCACTGTGACTGACGTGGCACTGCTGACGTGGCACTGCTTACATGGCACTGTGTCTGACGTGGCACTGGTGACGTGTCACTGTAGCTGACGTGTCAATGTGTCTGACGTGTCACTGTAGCTGACGTGTCACTGTGTGATGTGGCCTGCTGACGTGTCACTGTGTCTGACGTGGCACTGCTGACGTGTCACTGTGTCTGACATGGTACTGTTGACGTGTCACTGTACCAACCCGAAATGCATGCAAGGGGTGGTTGGGAGGGAAAACGCAGGTAGGCAAACAACCCAACTATACTTTCCTCCGACCCTAATCAACGGATAAAATAAAATAAAAAATAAAAGAGGACTACTTCCTTTTTTTTTTTTTTTTTTTTTTTTTGTATATCTGTCAATCTATTGTGAGTAGGACATGTCAGAAGAGTACGATGAACGAGATTTAGGCTAGGTCCCGCAAAGTTTGGGCTTTCACAAAATGCGAACTTGAAAAAAAAAATTTGCGAGATGGAGTAAAGATGCGATTTTCAGAAAGAATGAAATCCAATTTATGAGAATATGGCAACCTCTGAATATGCCTAACGCAATATTGGTAGGCTTCACAAGATTTCGGTTTTCAAAAAAAAATTGCGAGATAGAATGGAAGTGCAATTTTCAGAAAAGAATAATTTCGGTTTCCGAGAATATGACCACTTCTATCGTTGTCCCAATATGCCTAGAAAACGAAATACTAAGATCAGAAATTTCAGCTATGTATGTGAAATATCAGAGAAACGAAATGCAACTATCGAGAATTTTCAGACAAAACGAAATGCGATTTATCATAAATTTTCAGATATTTTCTACGTAAAAACGAAATACCAATATCAGAAATTTTCAGGTAAAACGGAATGCGAATATCAGAAATTTTCAGATAGTTGTTACGAGAATTGTTTTTAGAGATTTGACGGTCCTACTTGCTTTACTAATGAGTGATCACTAGATCAAGCAAGCTGTCTACTTGATTGAGCGGGTCCTCTGAATGAGAGTTCCGCTCCGATACCAAACTGTTGCATACTGTAACGTGCAGACCAGAACAAGAACCGACCTCTCAATGCAAAGTACAAGATGGCGCAAACGGAAGACTTAAATACCAATGATCCGATCAATCAATGTTGCAATGCAGCCTTGAACATACATCATCATTATCATCCCAGAGTGTGAGAGGGGTCTGGTGCTTCACACAGGAAGACTGCGCCAGCCCCACACATACACAAACGAAGATGAGGGGGGGTTAGACGAAGAGGAGGGAAAGATGGGAATGTCGTCAACACCAAGTCTTC